GCAGTGGCGTATCCAGCATAGGGCGGAGCCGGCACTACGCCCCCCCCCCGTTTGCAGGCCCAGAAAAAAATCAATAAACTAAAAAAATTTTTTTAGTAGCAGTGGGTCTTCAGGGTTAACGTCAGACTGAACGCCTTCCTGCTTCTGTTTGCTCCACAAGGACCTCCCTTTGCACATGGATAAGTTGGTCAACATGTTCATCAGAAGGAAGCCTCGAAGGTTGCTATTGGCAAACCCCATGGGCGACGCTTAATGTCCCGAACACACAATCATGACCTGAACATCTCAGTGGCAATTATTAGTAGGCCTAATTGTCACACTGACTCCTCACCCTGACCTGTGTACCAATCAGAGCTAATCATCATCATGATCAAGTGTGTTTGCTTTTAGTGCCATTAAACATGTTAAAGGACTTATCAAGTTATATATGTTGTGTTGCAATAAGCCAGTTCGTAGTTAGCCAAGGGGTTGTGTGACGTCACAGGTCACCGGGTCATTTGTGACAAAAATCAATGAAATCTCGATACGAATACGAGTGCGGCATGCGCTCTCGATTCAGTGTACGTGTACATGCACGCATGCGCGCACGCACACACGTGTACGTGTACGTGCGCAAGCACACACGTGTACGCTCACACGCACCCACGCACGCACGTCTACGCACGCACGCACGCACGCACGCACGCCCATGTATGTGCACACGCACACACGCACGTGTACGTGCACACGCACGCGCGCACGGGTACGTGCACACGCCCGCACACCCGCAAGTGTACGGCACACGCACGCACGCCCCCACGTGTACATGCACACACGCGAAGACTGTAGCATTACAACGACACACATGCATGCGTATGTACTGTGTATGTGTATGTAATGTGTACTGTGCGGTCGAAATACGAACTATTTTGTCACAAATGACCTGACCCGGAAGAATTCGTGGCAAAGTTCGCGAATGCGCAGACTGTAACTACGAACTGGCTTATTCTTACCTGTTTTAATACATGTATCATTACTATAGTAACCTAAACGCAGGTGTGTACGCTCTCTGAAAAGTCATGAAAAGGGTTTTACATCCTAAATTGTAGGGTTGCGTCTAGGGTTGAGATAGTGTCATCAGACATCAGAATATGGCCCATAGTATGCCTCAGATTACAGGAAAATGGCTTAAATGTTTCAAAATTTTCTGGTAGGGCATGCCCCAGACCTGTCTGCAAGTTCATTCTGTTCTTAGTAAAAGACCAATTTTGTGACTAACAATTCAAAGTTTTGTCATTTTCTATGAAAAATTCAATGTTTTATGTGGCAGTTAACTTAAAGCATGCCTTAATTTACATTACATAGATACACCGCGGTATTTATCTGTAGTTCCGTTACTTCTGTGTCAAATTTGACATACTTTTCCTGACTTTATGAAGCTTAAATTAAAAATGGCATCCATTTTGACACAAAAAGTACACCTTCCCCCCCCCCACATAACTTTTTTATTAGTTTTTTACATCAATCTCAAGAGTGACTAAAATGAAAACCAAAACTGTCTGTCTGTGTTTATAGTATGAACTAAAAAATGGTCCTTGTATTTTTGTTTGTTTTATTTTAGGAAATAAGTTAAAAAGATGCACAAAAATCTGTAATTTTTTTTGTAAGATACAACAATATCGTAAATAAAGAACCATAACTTCTAAAATAAAACATTTAAAACAATTCCAGGGAACGTTTTTTAGTTCATACTATGACCAACTTATGGCTAAAAGTTTAGGTATCAACCCTTTGCTGTTTCTGAGAAATAAGAAACAAAAATTTGTATATGCAACAATTTTTGCCGTCACGTAATTCCCAATGAATTTTGTTATGATAATTTCCATCGTAAGCGCAGAGAAACATCTCTTTTATTAAATAGATACAGGGGTAGAAATAAGGAAAAAAAGAGATGGTCCACAGGACCATCTAGTTTGAAATTTAGATGGTCCTAAATTTCAACTTTTTTTCTCTAAAAGTAATGCGGCATGCAAGCAAAAGAAATAAATTTTACATGCTGATAAAATGGTTTAATTATTCACCTACAACAGTGATAGAGCTTTAAAATAAAAACCTCTTGCCAAATTGGACGAGTGAGTCAATAAGTTAACTGGCCCAAATTTTAAAACAAAAATGCTTGTCAAACAATAGTGATATATATTTTTTAAATTACACCTATTAGATGCAATTTCCTGCACTCTGAGGCAGCATTATTAAACAATCTTCATCACAAAAATATCACTTTTGAGTTGAGTATTTTAATCTTTGGGGACACCAAAGACTAAAATACTTGCCTAAAAAAAGAGAAACATAATAAACTTCAAATTGCTGAGGGTTGAACTGCTCAGTCTCTGCCAAGTTGTGCAAGTACAATGCTAAGGCAAAGTAATGTGGTTAATAAGTTAACCTATCTGCCAACTGAATTAACACAGGCCTCAGCACTTAAAGGCTCACAATGCGCATCCAAACGCTAATTTCTCCAGTACTAGACTAGCAAATACTTCGTGTCATGCATAATCACACTACCTTATGACAAAATAAGTTCTAGTTTCACTGCACGTTTGCTTAAAACCCACAAGAAAGAGGTGAGAAAACTAGCATTCTGGCGCAAAC